TTATTTATTTATTTATTTTTTTATGGTGATTGCTTTTTATCTAAATCCCAAATGATTGTTGATTAAAAATTGAACTTTGTTGGGGGAGACAATGCTTCGGTGGTCCATGTTGGCCAGGCAGTTAATAGAGCGTCCAATCTTTGTTTCAATAAATAAAAAGGGGAAAAACAGGGGAATTAATAGCTATTTCAATTGTTGATAAAAATTGAACAATTTGTGTACGTAGTATTGCATTTATAGAAGTAGTTTTAAAGTCCTGCATGGGTAAAATACGTATAGTTGGCCCGTGACATTTAGTGTGAAAGTTGAATTTTATTTTTTTGGTGTGATATTATTTTTGTTATGGACATATGTTGATTTAATAATTTCCGTTGGGTAAAGAAATTTAGTGGTCACAGAATCTATAGCAAAATTTTAAGTTGATTACTAAACTTTTAGTGTCAAACTCTCAACTTCTACATTGCCATTAAGTTGGTAACACAGCACATCAATTAATTGATGGAGTTCCAAAAATTAAATGATCTATTAATTCATTGATTTGTCATCTTTTTATTGCTTAGTATGTATAAGTTAAACTATTATGCCTTCATTTTGTCGATAAGTGTAGGAGATTAACAAAGTAATTAATAGATTAAGTTTTATGAAGTTGGACGATTTATGAACAAAAATATTAGAGTGACCTTAAATAGTAAAACGAACAAGATTTTAATTTAATTTAATTTTCTTTAATATTGTGCACCCTTAAAATTCAATGAATGGACAAGAAAACAACAAAAAAAAGTATTAAAAAGTATGGAAGCATTCACAAAAGAATGTGGTCCTTTCTATAGTTTTGGTATATTATATTGGGTAAATTTGATATTGAAAGAGAGCATATAATTAAGGTGCAATATATTTTCTAAGTCCAATTATGAATATATTCATAACGTATCAGCAAAATAGATTACAAAATAGCTAAAATTTATTTATTTATTTTTTCATAAATTTTATGATTTTCATGACATTTCTTATGTTCACCAAGAGGAAATTTCATCCATATGACATTTTCAGAACTTGAACGGTCAATTATTTTGGATTCGTAAATAATGTTAATTTCGTTACTTTTTACAAATATGTATCACTCATAGAAAGTGATACAATAAGCGGTGAGAATTTTCAAATCCATTTATAGTTTCCTCGTGATCTTCCATTATATATAGCATTTTATTTTCAATAGATTATGTTGACTGCGACCAATGATGCGGCCAATAGATCTCAAGATCTCTCACATTCATGCAAACTCCATTCCTGTACACTTGGACAAATCGTTAGTCAGTTGGAGTTAGTCGTGCACACTCCGTCGATCAAGTCAGTTGGAGAAATAAGTATATGAGTGTGGGAGAGATTTAAACATGAGCCTCCAATATAAAAAAGGCGGTTGGTTTTGGGAAAAGCAAGTAAAAGATATGATAGCAAGACTATAACTTTGAGAATCTAAACTTGTATTACTTTTGAATAGCACTAAGTATGAGTTTTTATACTTGACCAAGAAAAATGAAGGCCGTAGGATGACAATGCACATGGCCTCATCCAAATGATTGACCTTTCTTGTCATAGACATCAATTAATTATAGCCTTAAATGCTAGTACTACTTTTGTATTTATAAGGCCTAACTTGAGGCCTTTGACTTGACCAAATAGGATGGCGATGGCGGTGACAGTGAATTATCTTGTCAATATCATAATGCAAGATCTGTTTAAGATTTCTTCACCGCCTCATCCTGGACCGACTCCTTCCATGGAGCCCGCGTGTAATGAGGTCAGTCCAGCATTGCCTCGTGGGGAAAACAGGTTGTACGCATTTGAGGGACGATCCAGTTTCGCCTCATGTTAGTATACAGGGCATGAGATCGTCGAATCGTTTTGCCAGGAAGCTAGTTGAGACCAAGTGGGAGTCCACGTAACAATATTTTGAGTTTGGAGGAATCAGGGACATCGCTTGCAAGGGCTAGATCTAATGAGGCGATGCCCTTTTCGTAAAGGGCGAGCTACTTTAATGAAGCTGAAATATATGATAAAGCTAAATTGCATGATG